GGTCTTATTCCCTTTACTTCGTGATTCCCTTTATGCATTGAGAAACAGAGTCAAGCGAAAGCGTCACAGCGGTTCGTGTGTATATCAGTTAGGCATACATTCAAAGTTTCATCGTGGGTGTGTCCACCGAAAGACTCCCAAGTCCAACCGAAGTGAGAGCACTTTTGGAAGTGCGATAGACAATAGATGGCGCTTGTCGACATGATGAACTCGAACAATACCCTCTTACCAACTCTCATACCTCCTTCTTCATTCCATTTAAGTCCATGAGTTGTCTTGATTCTCAGGGCTCCTCTGGGCAGAACTTGGCTTTGTATTATATTGCCAGCGGTATCCCTGAAAACAAGCATTTCTCTGTAGGGCTTCTTCGGGTCTATAGAGGACGCTCTCACTTCCTCTTCGTAGCTCGTTGTTGGTGCATGAGCAACCATGTTAGAACTAGGGTTGGGCTACGTCTTCTCAATTACAAACGTCCCATTTTATGGTCAGGCTATTGTAGAATTCGATGGCCGAACATGAGTTTACGAACATCCCTACCATCGGCGCACCTGTTATAGCATCTGAACAGCTTGTCCAGAATTCCAAATAAAGGGGCCGATTTGTGTCATTGTGTCGAGCCCATAGCCGGCCAAGTTCTGATTTGTGCGCTGCGCACACCGGATATTTAGCCATGCAATCCTACATGCGACAAGGAGTTATCAAAGGCATATTTCATGATGACTCTTAAGTACTTGGTTCAAGTATAGTGGAAGCCATGGTGTAGGATAGTGATAAATGTGGCGAAGAATGCATGAGAAACGGTAGATCATAGGAGGCGTACTTACTTACTTACTTTGGTACTTTGATGGTCCATCGGCAAGAGTCTTCTCAGCGGGGACCACAGTTCCTCCATACCGCCCGATCTTTCGCGACTTGCATCCATTGTAGGCCGCTTTCTCTGAAATATTCGGAAAACGAATCGGCCCTCCGAGTCGGAAAACGTCCTGACGGTCTTCTTTTATTTCTCGGAAGCCATTCTTTGACTCGAAGACTCCATCTGTCAACAGTTCGACGAAGTATATGACCAGCGGTGCTTCGACCGTGCCATGCATTGAAGCGGGTCTTTCAAGCGCGATCTCTCCTGTAGGTCTGAACTTCGCAAGCCTTGCAGCCACTGTTGTCGTCGACTGATTTTCAGAAAACTTCTTTCCAACGCGTGATGAAAAGTCCTTATGGCTTGGCGATTGTTTTATTGTCAGGCCACGTTTCAGTCGCATAACACATCGCTGGCAGAACTGAGGTGCTGAGTATCGATGTCTTGAGGTCGGGATCGCTGACCTGGTCTGCCACTTCACCAATTGAACCGAAAGCTGCCCGTGCAGCACGTCTTCTCCGATTTAGTTCTGGAGCAATACTGCTCATCATGTTCAGCTCTCTTCCCAGATATACGTAGGAATCAACTCTTTGCAGAGTTTTTCCTTCTAGCCTTACTGTTCCCATATCGCACCACTTGTTAACCATCAATTGCATTTTGGACATATTCATCTCCAAGCCTATCCGCCGGCTTACCGCATTGTACTCGTTGACCAGATCTTCCATTTCAGCTGTGCTGCTTGATAGCAAGACGATATCATCGGCGACGCGGAGGTTACTGACTTTTTTGCCGTTGACGGGATACTGTTCCCATATCGCACCACTTGTTAACCATCAATTGCATTTTGGACATATTCATCTCCAAGCCTATCCGCCGGCTTACCGCATTGTACTCGTTGACCAGATCTTCCATTTCAGCTGTGCTGCTTGATAGCAAGACGATATCATCGGCGACGCGGAGGTTACTGACTTTTTTGCCGTTGACGGGATATCCTCTTTCTTTCCAGTCTAGTTTCAACATCGCATATTGTAACGCAGCCGTGAAAAGCTTTGGGATATGGTATCTCCTTGTCTCACCCCCTTTCCAACTGGAACCTTCAGCTTTCGGTTGAACAGCTGGATGTTGATGTGTTTGAGAGGCACTGTTCGAGCAGGTGGACGAAGGCGGGATCAAGTCCAGCTTGCACAAGAGCATTTGACCCAGCGTTGATCTCCACAGAGACGAAAGCCTTCTTGCAGTCCACGAAGAGAAGGGCCAAAAGAAGGCGATATTCTCGGCTTCTCTCGATAAGCTGACTGAGGAGGCGTAAGGTATCAAAATTAAAAAGGGGTTGCACGAGAATATGTGTCTGTAGCCGTCTGGTTTTTTCCCACATAAGCGTAGTATTCGCTGACGCTCTGAGGTTTCGGTGTGAATGATGCGGCCTGAACGAGACCGTCATTACACGGCCACTCAACCAAGCTTTTTCCAGATCTTTTATAGCGTCTTGTCAAGGTTTTCTTCCCGGCAATGTTCCACGTGTTATCCTTGGGGGTTGCGGGTTTATCCCAGAGGTAAATTTCAGTGATCATTTTATCGTGTGCTGTGCTTTTAAGGCAACCGGAAAGCTCTTAGCAATTTCATTCCAATTCAATGATAGCTCTGCTCGAGCGGACATGCAGAATACTAAGCTGCAATAGAATACTAGGCGTTCCATGCGCGCATCATGTATACGTTGCGAAGATGCTAAAGGTAGTATGCGACTCATAGCAGTAGAAACAAGATAACTTCCGCTTGGATCCGCCTCCCTCCCCGAACAAATTTCGAAGGTTTTTGGACCACCATTTATTACCATCCACTGGTTAGGGAACATGTGCCACATATCACCGTCACCAACTGGCTGGAGATCTTTCAGTAGAAGAGGATCTTTTCAACATAAAACCTCATACCCCTCGGTGGCTCATGTGAATAGATTTCTAGCGTGCCTTGATTGATCTTTATCATATCAGTCGCCATAGATGATTGTTCTAGTCCGTTAAAAGACAGAACTATGGAAAGCGCCACTCACTTCGATGCGTTTCTACGTCAACGTCCGAAAACTTTTGATTCTCTTTCGAACAGAATTTTGAAGAAAGCGACCTTCTGCGATAGGTTGCCAGCCGAGAAAGAAATTGGTCTTCAGAATACTCGAGACATGTCATTTTCCCTTTCTTTCAGGATTCATAAATGATCTTGTCGCCCTGAAGGGATTGTTCATAAATTGTTTCAGCTGATCGCATGCTCCATAACAAACAGTTGGCCTGCACCAGAATTGTCAGTCACCGGATCTTTGTACTGCAAAGGAAAACCTATAGTTCATACTCGCGTTGCTTTACTTGACGGTACCAAACGTTTTTTTTTGTAATTTGCATCAGAATGCATTTAAGGTGGTGGACGTTCCTACTTTAAGATCTGTTCACCTTGTATCTTTACTATGGTGCGATATTACGAGCTTATGTAGCAGAATGTACTTTATAGTGAGATGTGGAATTTTGTTTTGAATATGCGCTTTATGTTTTCGAATCTAGCCCGTAATCGCACCGATACTTACTAATGTAGTCTACCTATGCATTAGTTCGCCAGTGGTTATATTCTACTGGAGGATGAGCTGACATTGATCCATCTCCGTCTCAAGACGAGAAGCCTTTTTGCTGCATGAGAAATTCGGTCCAAGATTTGACCTCCAAAGACCTCAGTTCGACTTTGATATAATAACGGACCCTGAGGCACATATTCTCCAGTATTTCTACAAAGCAACAAACCGTGGTATGGTGTTAGTGGGCAATTACCCCGCTTGAGTGACTTCCATAGATTTATTGGGATAAGTTGATGAAATGAAAGCAAATAGAAATCACCACTACCCCATCGATCCTATCAGAAGAAAACGCTACCGTAGTTCTAGGAAGCAGCAACGTACACGTATTATCTTCTAGCAAAGAAATCCCTTGATATCATCATTCCCGTCCATGAGATGGAATTGTGAGAAAGAGCTCGCGACCAATGATCATTTATACTTGGAGACTAGTATGAACAGGTGATTTTAAGGCGAATATGGGTACAACATGGATGATCGAACGACAGGACGTGGAGGAGAATTCTCTCTCCGTGCCAATGTAAAAAATGGAGAGCTTGATAGGAACAATTGGTATTTTCATGCTGAGCCCGATTGCGGACGCACAGCGGTGAGATCTTCTAGNTTTTTTTTTTCGAGAAAACAAGTAGGAAAAGATCCAGAAGGGATAAGAAAAGTTTGTCATCCAGTTTGTTCTAAACAGGGAATAAGCGACACTCCCTTGACTATGTATATGGCTAAGAAAAATAAGGGTCAACAACTTCTTCACTTTGAAAACTTCCGAATTGGTAGGGGCCATATTCAGAATGTAGTGGGACTGGAATACGATAGCTACGAATACGAACTGGCAATACGATAGCTCACGAAAGCCTGGGAGCGGAGAACTTTTGATGTGGAGAGGATTCGATCCCGTACCACTCATTTAACACTGTCCCCACCTAGCACAACCCATTAGCGCCGTAACGGCTTAGGAATACAGAAATAACACAGCTATAGGAATACAGGAGATAGGAAGAAATGGATCAGAGAATCTCATTGAATAGTTAGACGCTCGGGCGCACAATGGAGAGCGGAAAAATACTGGAGAAAAGGAACATGAAGAATAGTGGGATGATGCTAGGAGACTTCAGCCCAGCTACTGCGAAAACACCTACTAAGCTACTTCGATCATCATTCACAAGATATTATTTCAGTATCAGATCCAAGTCAAAGTGATCAGAGACAAATGTATGGTAAGCAGTTACAAGTTGATTTTAGCCGATATCACCAATTCTGAAACTTTTTTCCAAGTGTCTAAAACTCTAGCTTGAATTTAAATCACAAAGAAATAAATCCAAACCAAACAGTTCATGATAACGCTTCAAGGAAAAAGATTTCAGGGACGTGGTTCCGCTAGAATTGATGTTGAAAGTATTCAACCGAAGACAGGAGAGGTTATCGTTGAAAAATATAACCTAGACTGAACTTGAATGAAGTCCTTCTCTTCTTAGTCTTTACTCGGCTGGGCATCGAAATCGACAATTTCACAATATTGAACTTTTTGCGTGTATTCTTTTTGTGGTTATCAAATGTGTTTCCAATATGACAAAATTACCGTAACAGTATGATACTTTAAATGCCCATAAAGAACTGACCCCACCTCTCAAAGTTCTAGTGAATGTTAGTAGCAGCCATCTATTTTGAAAATGTCGGCCTGGCAATCGCTTTATTTACCCGCACAGTCGTATCAGAGTCGGAGCACAAACTTCTCTAGCCAGGAGGATGTGCAAGTGATTGGTGATTGGGCAATCAGTAAACATGCAAAACTGGTTTTGGAGCGGTGTTTGCTCCAGTAAATGAGCACCTGAATGAGGTCGTTGCGAAACAGAAACGATCCGTCCCTAGCAAGCTTCCAAACACACTAAATCATTTCCGCATTGCCGATTATTACTACCTAGTATATGGCAGATCAATATGAAAGCGCGTGCGTAGACTGAAGTGATCTGGTCGGGCACTCAAAAGGCCGCACAGAAGCGACATCTAACATGTGTCCTAACAAATGCTGTGATTAGCCACCACACCATAGCTTATATTCTGGTCTGTCGACCGTTTATTTGTTCTTTTGGTATATTCATGGTGAAGATTCATTTTTCCTCCCTCGTATCTACGACTTCGAGGTTCTAAGTCGCCACAGGAGGATATTTCACCTCAGGATGCCGAATATTCAACTTTCATTGACGTTATCGACGATAGACGTGTTCCCTTTCTACCTTTCCACGACACTCTCAGGGAGAAAAAATGGGTTTACAGTTCTACGACGGGAGCTACCAATCGCCATGATCAATCTTGAGTTCGAACAATGAGTAACATACTATCTGAGTAACAATCCAGAATAGCAACAGTTTCGTACGTGTATTCTCGAGGGCATTTTCTTCCACCTAATCCACAGTAAGATAGGGGCTCATAAAGCTCAGAGTTTTGACTGCATTGTGAAGGCTGCATCATTTACTTGGGAACCAATGTAGGAAGTTCGAACAACGTGCCTTGAACCATAGCAACAGTTTATAGCAGTTCGGTACAGTTTTGGCTCAATGTGGTCAGCTCTTCGTGCAAATGCAACAGCTGAAATCTCGTCCGAATACCCCTTCTACGTCATTTCCGCCATGGCAATCTTGCACAAGGTCTAATTTCACTACTTTGAGGAGCCATTCACTACTTTTTCGCAAAAACAGTGAATTTCCTCGCTTCCTTCACCACCGATGCACTATTCCCATCTAATACTTCCGTTTTTTGATTTGAAAAGAGTACCTCAAAGTTATGGTCTACACTGCATTTAGAGCAATATAGAGAAAACACGAGATCCTTCAAGAGTAGATCTGAATATTTTCCGCTTCAAACGTAGAAGTGGTCGATTTCAATCCGATGTAATACTGCTCACTCTGCGATTTTGAAGATTACCAGCCATATGAGATAGACGAGAATAGTCGTACTAGGTAAATATGTATGTCAACCATACAGGAAAAAGTGGGGTGCAACCCACCTAATGCGGTGACCACAACGAGACAGCCGGAACCTTATTGTAGAACATTCTGTGCCCCGTGGAACTGTGTGGTGTACAAATCCCTGTTATTTACTCTTTCGAACTTCAAATCCGCTTCAAATTCAGTCCCAATTTCTGCTTTCAGATCTCAACGACTCATCGACCGTCTGTCCGTCCGTCCGACGCGTGCGTTCTGCAACGGCGGCGCCTGACCGTTGTTGACAACACTAGACCACGTGCCAGCGCTGTCAACACTACTCTAGCGACCGCCGTCGCAGCACGCAAGCGTCGGACGGACGGACGGACGGACGATCGTTGAAGTCTGAAAGCAACCAATACCGTCATTTTGTTGAATATTTGGTATGTCTTCTTGTAATAAATGAGCCGTGTCCTATATATAGAAGAAATTAGATAGCGGTATCGTAGTGATTGGGACGTTTAATGTGTTCTAAACTTAATGCTAGTTTTGGGTAATTGAAATATAAATGAATTCACGGTGACTACTCCACCAATGAGTCAAAGATTATACTTTCTTAACAAATGAGCTATGACAATGAAACCATTAAGAAGGTGAGGGCAAGCGATTCTCCACACTGTAAGGGATAAAGAGGAAGGCGTGTGGAAAACACAAATGCGGGTCCGAGCCCAGTCTGAAGCCGAATTCATGCCCATAGCTCGCCAACTCTTTGAGATCAAGCTTTCATCTGGAGCCGCCTAGGCACGATTCCTTTCTGCTGATAGGCTATGAAAATATTCGCGAGATGTCCAAGCATTGCTTACCTTAGAATGGGTTGCGTTAAGTTGAAGTCAGATCAAAGAGGGGAATTTTGTGTGGGTAGAGGAAGATGCATGGCGTCAGCCTATCATCAAACCATCCATACGTCCACGTGTAACACGGAGGCAATGGCCGAGTTAGACCAGTTTTTATCGGCTTGTTTCGGAATTTTCGCTTCCATCAAAACTTGGAATCCAAAAAGTCGCCATTTTTTTCTGCAAGCGTCGTTTCATGTTCAGCATAGTTCAGTCAACGCTGTAGTTACTTATACCATTGTTGTAAATAACAGGTGACTCGCCCTATATGTATAGAATTGGACTTGTAGACCACCTTTCGAACTGCCTTTTCAAGTCTTTGCAGGGGGTGAGCTTCAGTTGACCTTATCCTCAAGCTGGAAACGGTGGTGCAGCCTTCGGCAGTTGAAACCTTGAAAGGTTAGCCAGGATCGGACGGATTCTTTGTAATGACCAGGCATTAATCCTTCTCCAATAATCAAGACACAAACGGTACTGAACAAGGATAGCGAAGAAGCCAGAAGCACACAATATTATTCATATCTCCTCTTTTGAGTACAGTTCATAAAAGCCCTGAGAACAGATGCTGTCTCACCATCCTTACGATCCTTGGCCATAGGCATTTTGACGCCGATTCTGCAAATAATCGCATGTGTTTGGATCTGTGTTGACCGACGCGTTACGTATCTTGCGTAACGTAACGCCTCGCATCGTCCTCAAACCGGACCTCTTCAATGTTTACCGCCCCTACTGGATGGTAGCGGAAAGAGGCGGAGCTAAGCCGGATTAAAAGCACACTAGGTACAACGGTAGGCTCCCCAAAGATGAAAAAAGGGCAATGTTGAAAAATCAAATAGGGTGTTGCTCAGGCAAGTGTTCATGTTGATGAATTGCTTATACCCAGATCAGCTTCATCCAGCTTTCATTCAAATATCGGATGGAATCATTTAAAAAGCTACAAATTTACCTCAGATTTGCTCTCAAGCGCTTTCAAGCCACACTAGCACCACCTAAAACCCTGCGGCCAAACCTCGTTTTTGGTACTTCAAATATGATAACTGCTTTCGAAGAACACACAATGTTTCTTTAGGCGAACGTAGATGTTCTTGACCTGGTGTGGGTAAGGTCAAGATTTGCACAGAGCGGCCTGAGCAACGGGTTGAACAAAGCGTAAAACTATCCCTGAAACATGAACGCCAGAGTGCTCCGTCCACTGCAACATAACCAGCGCTTCAGATGAACTTCGAACGTTTTGTTAACTTTTATTGAAATATTCCTGCTACTGATGATATCCTGAGTTGTAATATTGTGGGAATATATTCATCTTCAGTTCATGCTTATCTTTTGAAGCAAACTAGCGGTCCACAATGCGGCTGTGTAGAATTCCGTGGGTTAAGCCTACCAATACCGACCGACTGTATGTATGTATGTATGTATGTATGTATGTATGTATGTATGTATGTATGTATGTATGTATGTCGCATATCTACCTGTTGGACAGTCTTTGTTGTCGTTTCGGCTCGACTTCATCCGCAAAGTACACTCCTAATCTGACACCTATAGAAAAACGGCTCAGAGGCCGATACTGCTTTCAACAGCAATTCTCCCAACTCTGTTCCTCCCTTCCTTTTCCACTCGGGTTTTTCTCGTTTTCGTATTGCTTGCTAGCATTCTAAAGCCTAAGCCGATCAGCTCTCTTTAAGCGAACGTCCTTCTCCCACTACTTAACTCTAGCTCGAACATTCGGCTAAATCTTTATCAGAGAAACCAGGTTTCAATCTCTATCGAAAGGCTGTTAACTTATGAACCTGTGGTTTGAGCCTGTGGATGAACTGAATGGGAAATGATTGAGATGTCGAGCATTTAGGGTGGATGTCGTAGGTGCCTAAACACTCCCAATGCTAATAGAGATCAAGCTAGAGGTATGTAGAGGATGAGCACTGAGTGAGCTTGATTTCGACCACTTTATCAACTGTACTATATTTTTTGCTAGCGTGGTCTTTCAGCAACAGCTGGGTTTCCGCTCACGTGCATGCATATGCTTGGCGCCCCTCCCCACATGTCCTCCCTCGTGTTGGAACGCCAACGCTTTGGCCGCTTATGTTTATACTATGTTGATGCGCTTTAAGGCGAGCCTGTCCACATGTCTTTTTCACTTGGCTTTGTGTTTACCTTGAAATTTCATGATTACCCCTTTATCCCGTTTGCTTTTTTGCGCTCTTTCGTTCTAATCCGTTGCGATCTTCTATCAGCGCATGTTTGCACAACATTCCATCGTGACAGCGCTGATTTCATAGGCATGTACCACGCAAAATCAGCTGCAGGTTAAAGAGCCCAAACCTTGAGAATCTTCCACAGAAGCATTCCAGCACTGAGGCCTTAGTTTTATGAATCCCCCGTTCGCGTCCATTCCGTGGAAACTTACTGTTACAGAATGAATACTCCGAATGAGCCCAATTTGAGGGAGAGCGAGAGAGAGATAGGATGGTTCCATTCATGATCTTGTGTACGTGAAACACTCTATGTACTTTTACTTTGAGGTTAATTTCTCAGATTCTCTTATTTCTATAGGACCAATTCCTTCGAACTTCGGAATCATGATCATAAGAATTTCAAAGGGATCAAAATGAGGAAGATCTGGATCCACTCTGTCAAAACCATTCTTCTACATTAGTTGGTTAAAATACAGACCCACCAGCATCATAATAGGTGGTCAGAACCAGTGATACAGTAAACCTCTCCAGTAAAGTTGTCATTCGAGTTGTATGTTTGGTTGGATACATGTCCGCCCACAAAGCATTCCATGACCGAAGGTCCTTTGAGTAAGGGTATCTACACGGAAAATCAACCTTACATTGAAGTAATGGTTAGGAGTAAGCTCAAAAGACAGAATAATGTCAGCGTTAGCTTTTATTCGGCATAGACTACAACTTTGGTGTCTTTATAGACCTTCTGACCAATAGATAGCGACGGATATCTATTCATGATATATTTAAATAAGCAATTATCTCTCTTATTTATCAAGCAGTAACTTTCTATGTCGGTTTGTCGGTATGTCGGTATGTTTGTAAGTGGGTTTTCAGTCTGTACGTCCGCAAAATTTTATGATTACGATAGTGATATGGAAAACCCAATGCTATCCTACATTTCCCTCTTATATATAAACAGTAACTTAGTGGGTAGGTTGGTGGAATAGAGTTAGTTCTGCGGAGTGAAATGAGTAATGTAGAGTGAAGTGGAGACGTTAGAACGATTATTTCTACCTGTTCTGGCATCGTGCTATGTATTTTTCTCATTTTTTCCAATTTTGAACGCCATAGCGCAGATAGGGAGGTGAGCCTATAATTGAGCTCAGAAATGTTCCTTATCCGTGGACATACAGTTTTTTAAAATGAGCTTGAGGAGTGAAGAAGCTTGGAATGGGTGAGGTGCACACCTCTACTCCGGCCCCAACTATAATACATTTTCTATCTACTCTGTAAAAGAAGGGAATGAGGCCCGGCTTGAGCCTGGCGACCTCACTGGTCACAACAGATAGTAACAGGAGGCATTCTAGCACGGTGATGCCGATTGCTATCAGAATTTCAGAGGCTTTTTAACATTTATATGACACGGTGAACCGTGAATTAGAAGCATAATTACAAGGTTGTCCCTAGGACCATGAGTTCGCATTGCTCTCTGCCCTGTTTTACAGTTATTTTTTTCAGTCCGTGAGTAACCCCAGGTTGGAAACAAAACCGGAACAGTTGTCGAAGGTACGATTGTATCGTGTACCACCTAATCAAAGAGAAATTGCTTTTTGGAAAAAAATTTGTGTCTCATGATTGACTTTTATTACCCAAGCCATATTGCCTCTAGTCTCCTAGGAACGCCCATTCAAAAGACAGTCTGTATTCCTGATTAGAGCTTGATCTTTGAAATGACCATTTAAGTTGGCAATGCTATTAGTAACTTTCGGGCAAACGAATTATCGAAATGTATCGAGCAAGAGTCTACAGAAGAGTTCCGAGCGGTCGTATCCTTAATCATTGATCTTTCCCAACTTCCCTTCTACATGCACATTTTGAGTGTTTTGCATTTTCATGCCAGTTAAGTAGCCCTTGAAAAACAGACCCGCCTTCTTACAAAAGTAACAGCTTAGCAAGCCTTTCTTAGGATAGATTAAGATATCATGGTTTCCCAAGTCACAGCAAAAAGTGGCGCTTTGCCTGTCATAGGGATAGCTCTGACATCAATACTGAAGAGTACCCTTTCACCTACATATGTGTTGCATATATGTTATGTAGTAGTTACAACTGTGAGACTCCGCATTTCGATTAGGCCGAAAAGCCGAACGCATAGTAGGAATACTTCTGACTGAGCTCCGATTGCTATCCCACGATCTCATTCTTTTTCGTCAGCTGCATATCAGTACAACTGCTTTGTCAGAGGTATTATTTATTGTTGAGTAATGTGATCACTTGGGTACACTCTTGTCACACTGATGGCTGCTATCCCTCTATTATTTACAATTAACGCGATGGTGTTACAAACAATACAATGATCTAGTACTATGTGCATCCTATGCTACATACTCACAGCTGTCATTACATACTTCAATCTTTGATGAAGCCTTATCCGGTTAAGGTCCTGTAAGAGGATGGCTTTTTTATATGCATTTGATTCAGTTGGCTATTTTCTTTCATCAAAATCATCAAATCCCCAAAATCTTCGCCCTTATGTTCAAATTAAACTGCAAAATGGACAACTCATCTACTATTTGACGACTGACGAACGAACGTCAATGTTTGCATTTCTTGGCACCAGTCTGCCGCGTGCAAAACTGGTAGATCCTCGGCAGAAACGCGAACAATCCTCTGATGCTGGGAATTTTTTCTAAACTACATTCATTGAGTGTAAAGTGACCAACTGGCCATTAGCTTTGCGGCCAGCCGGCTACTCTTTGACGATGTTCCAAAAAATCGTCACTGTTAGTGCTGAAAAGCACTTGAGGCCATGCCGGCTGTTCTGCGTGGATTTCCTCAACTGAAAACCGGAAATCTCACGTCGTAGCTCCGCCTGTTGTAGACGTACGTGTTGAGTATATAAGCGTTCATGACGATGACCTGGACGAGTTTTCAGTTTCATTCGGGAGGAAATATGTGAAAGTCGTCAAATGGTTCATTCAAAAACCTTATCCTCTTCGTATTTCTACTATTACTTTCTATTAATTGGTTTTATTCCAATTATAAGATAAAATCGCTAAACTCATCCCTGATAGGTCTGCTACTTTACTACATACCGGTTGTCTTTCTTCATGAAATTTCTTCACAGTGGTTTTGACGTTCTGTTCCGCTTCCGTAGTATTATTTCAAAAATGATTTTAGAATTATTTCACATAACCACTAAAATTTGAGAATTTCTGTAGCATGAAAAACATAGACAGCCAAGTAACCCAACTGAATAGACCTTAGGTCATATGGATAGGTAAAAAAGAGTGCGAAGTAAAATAGAACTGTTACAGTATCGTGGTTTACAGCCGTAGCCACTTTCTTGGTATAGTCCTGCCATTAGATTGTGTTACTTTATCTTCGTCCTTTTGCCTTCTTCTACCGTACGATGATGATAGAGCTTAGGGACACCTCATTACTATAATAACTTGATGTTTTGTTGAATGCTATTGATTTGCACCAGTACATGATCCGAAAGTCTCACAGGGTTGGCGAGTTATGGGTAAAACCTCGGCCTCCGGCGGAGCCCGTACTACCCGCAAGCAAGTACTGCCCATAACTCACCAGTATCATGAGACTAACAGTACTATTATTACTATACTGCAAGTTACTCTTAGCTTTTGTTTTGGTGAGTATCTCATGTTCTTCTATGGTGAGGATATTAGATTTAACAAAGAATTTCACACTAAGTTGATTACAAAATGAGACCCATTAACGTTTGGAGGATTGGACCCACGACAAACTGAGTCATTATTACGGATTCTATACTGTCTTCTTCTCCTCATTAATTCATTTTGTAAAACTCTGCTATTCCTCAAGTCAACGAAAATTTCGTGATTTCCCTTTGAACTCGCTGAACTAGGGTAACAACGTTCATAATTGCTGCGGGAACGTGAGGTCCTTGAGCACGAACGCCTCACACCAGTGGTTCTTCGTCCTCGAAAAACGGTAGGACTGTTGGGAAAGTTCAGTTCTGCGCTCCTGAGCTTTATCTAGATATTTGATGTTGAGCCTTCAACAGCTTCTCTGATCGCGCTATCACTGCAGGAGGAAGAGGGAGGGGCGAAGGTGGTGTATTGGCAAAAGGCGCACTATCACACACGCATGGCCACGGGCTCGAATCCCGGAATGACATCCGCCTAGGCCTGTCAAGCCTTTCATCCCTTCAGGGTTTGCTAAATGGTACCAGAATCGTCTGGGGTTTAAAACCACTGGTTTGTACATCGGCTGACCTCCGTAAGCGTTCTATAGGCTACATACGCGTTTGATACGCCACTACAATTTGAATGAAGCCGAATGCTGAGGCGCATCCATCTGAAAGGATTGCTCAACGCCTAAAGACTTTCTACTTTACCATCGCGAGATCTTTCTCTACTTCTGTCTGATATCAATCATCTGGACTTGTTTTTTCGGACTTGCATGCATGCCGAAGCCATGCAGGTGACATTCAGGACGCTCCGACAGGACGTCAATTCGGGTAAAAGGAGTATGTACAGAATCTTTTGATGAAGAAAAACTATTCAAGTAAATTTAAGTAAGTCTGCATTATCTAGGCTGTATAGTCCTTCTAAAAGTTGATCACGCTCCCTTTGGTTCATTACAATCTCGATTTTTTGATGTCACTGTAGCTTTGTTCGTTACTCAAATCTTGCAAATTTCTGACTGTCATCCCTACTGAAGCGCAGACTTTTTAGTCGGCTTTCGTTTAACTCAGAAAACAAAACGTTTACATTATGGAATACTATACTTTAGACTGATGCCAGCTCCTGCCGGCAACTGTTCCACGTCGGCGGCGTTATGCTTGCAATTTTTGACCCATGTCGCCAATGTCGCTGTCGAAAACGCTATGAAAGGCGTGGTAAGTGTTAGTTTTCCGGTTCTCGGCTCTTCATTCTCTCGCTTCTTCGCATCCGCATTTCCGTCCTCACTTTGCCGTTACACATTCCGCAAGGCTGTTTGCGTCAAGTGCCACACATGTATCGCTTTCGCGCAACTATGTAAACATATTCCAGATTGCTGGACCATCACATCTGACCATTGTATGTATTGAGAGGCTTCGTATAACACCGGCTTGATATTTATTAGCATTTCAGAATGGATAATATTCCTGTCGTAGGCGGGACAAAAAATTCGAGTTCTACACTTTGACCTTCCCCCTTCTAAATAGAAGCGACTCTCCAAGAGATAATACAACGGCGCTTAGCCTGTTCATGATTTGTGTTGCTCCACGTGAGCATTCGTGGAAAACACCACACATGTATTGGTTCGTTGGTCCTCCCCCTCCCCCCCCCCCCCCTTCTCCATGTCTTTGAAAAACGGGAGTTGGTCAAAGTTCAAAATCAGCGAAGCCGGGCAGAGATGGGAGAGGAACGCCGCGCGCGCGGGATGACCTGGGTTCGCCGCGTCAACCGCGAAGGAAACTCCTGACACATGCCTCAGGATAACCGGAGAATTGGCGCATTCCTTCTAGTCGAATCTGTTGGAAGGAAATTGAAAAGGGCACTGTCCGATTATAATAGCAGCAGTATAGCATTCAATTTGTAGCGGTTTTGCTCGTCTCAATGGTGATTCTGTGCTCCGAAGACGAGTATCCATTCATCACATTTATTCCCAGCAAAGGCTATCTTTGACTGTTAGCTCCAATTTTGCATGTTGATGTTACTTACGACGGCCCCTCACTTTTGGCAACTTACTCTGAACGACTAATGGATCAAGCTTATGCTTTGCGAGTGGCGAAGGCTACTTTCATAGTTCGCTATTCGGGCGAGCGACGAGGGCGGTGCTTGCCCCATGTTCACACAGAATCTTGGTCGATACCGCCGGACGAGTAGTCCCCTAGTCGCTCGCTCGCTCGCTTGCGGGCCGAATCGTGGACTATGAAAGCAGCTGAAGGCAATAACAGGACCATTAAATGATCCAAGCGCCTGTACAGGTGATAATGAGGCTATACCAAACTTTTGTGCTGTAGCAACACAAATGTTCAATGAACTACTGCTATGAAAATTCTGTTCAGGAACCAGTTTATACTACACAAAGAACAATCGTTCAAATGCATCCGGTAATGTCGGCATGGCCGAGTGCACCACCTGCAATGCCATCCAAATTCAGCTCATACGTTGAAGCCGGGAGTAATGTGCGAGGACTTAACTCACCTACCCTCCATCCAGGTACTTTTATTTCAATCATTAGGCAGTTCGAAACTCTACGAATTCAAAGTATATTATTTAAAATCCCTTATCGAAAGTATTAGTAGCTACGTATGTGAAGACAGTCTCCGTTTACATATTAGCAGTAAAAGGGAAAAGTAAGCAACAGGCTGATGCCGTTACACCAGACGGCTGGGTCGGGAATGTATCCCTTCATACCGGCCGGCCACCAGGGACATTGTGAGTGACCTCCCATGTCTAAAGTCACATACATAGCAACATCAGAATGGCCCAGGAGCGCATGAAGCGCAGGCCCTCTGGGCTCAACTGCATAGCCCTCAGTCTTTAACAAGCTATCGAGGTTAATATCAATCAAATGCGTACAGATATGCTTATTTTTCAGGATCATTCGAACCATATTTGGCACCAAACACATATCGTCTCTATACTATGCGCTTCTGTCCGTATGCTCAACGAATGGTTATTTATGTGGCAAAGAAAAATATACCGTAAGTCAATTTTGCTCAAATTCGCCATGTTTTTCCTTTGAACGAACGAAACAGGCTGCGAATTTATACTGGTCTTTCAAACCTCAAACCAAGTTGGACCAAGGCGCAGAGGGATTTATGACGCACTATGATTATGCTTTCATGACACCTGTAAGGGATTTTGGTGACGATTGTGATCGGAAGCCATAACAGCTTCCTATTTTTCTAAAGTCCATAGGCCTCTCTAAACTGAGGGTCCTGAGCAAGAGCTATAATGAACCCCAATAACGATATTAATCGGTGTCGACTTCTCCCGTAAACAATCGGGTATCCATGAAATGGCTTTCTGATAATAGACATGGGTTGTCCAGACTTCCAAGCAGCAAGAAAAAAGGATTAGTCTTTCCTGCAGCAACATCGACCAAACTAGCAGTATCGATCTGATCAATATTGCCGACATCTTTTTTACCAAAAAGAAGTAGTCTAGGCATTGGACGAGCAATCCGACTTAATAGTAAAAAGAACGAAAGACCGATGTAAGCAAGTGATCCGACTTGTACACATTGAGTGGATTGATCTAGTTGCAAAATCGCTGAGTCTGAAAACTGTCCACTACATGGGCAAAAAGGGAACTGGTGGACAAGATGAATTTAGTCGCCCAAATACTAGTTACGGCCAAGACGAGCTCCTCTCGTTGAAGGCACAGTTCATGATGATTTGGAGGTATCTAATATCTAAATAATCAAAATGTTAGTCTAAAATAGTGCAACGTGGCGAAAAAAACCGAAAATCATCGTCTTCAGAGAAACTTAAGTTTTCAAAAGAGTAGTAAAATTAGAGGTTGGACGAGACAAAAGTTGCGTGGAAGGGGTATTTGGACGAGCTGTCAAATTGTGCGTGCCATTGCGTATAGCTGGCTACAGTGAGCTGCTTGCGTGCAACGTGTGCGTCTCTGTGCAACTTCAACGGCCTCTACAATGTAGTAAAAAGTTGTATGCCTTTGTATGTGTACGTCGCCTGATCCGGTTTTGGGGCCTTCATTAGGCCCTGTTCTTTCGACCCGGAAGCAATCCTTGTCGTTGGGGGTGACAGGTCATCCCAGGAAGACTTCTCGGAAACCATTATCATCGTAGTACTGTGCTTAGCAGTTGGTAAAAGCTCATGCCAAGCAATTGTGAAGGCACTCAGTACCTCTCTCACATATGCACCCTCAAGCCCGACTACAGAACAGTGCTCACTATCTGTATCTGCCTCGCTCGAAGGCTGCCAATTCCTGTTTCAGTGTCAATCAAGAAAATGCTTATATCTTCTCAGATTTTTTGTATCTATATTTATAATTATTTATGAAATATTTATCAATAAATTTTCCAGAATCGAAATTGTGAACGTGAACCCGGACAAAGGACCAAACTGGTATTTGGCAAAGTCACCACTTGGAAGTGTTCCTGCTCTAGAAATAAACGGGAAGGTTAGCAAACGTTTTTATTGTGAGCCCGGAACAGTCCCTTCATTCAGACGAGCATACACCTGCAAATCTTATCGCTGAATGCATAGATAAATGGGCTGAACGATACAAATGCAGTAACACCACAACCCATCCCCCCTCCCCTCTCTCCTACTCCCCTAGCCTTTGGACTATTTCCTCAATTTAGTCCTTTTCGAACCGGGTTTGGACAAGTTTTGGATCTTTTTTGCGTGATTCTGGGAATTCAAGAAATTTCTTGAAATAATTATAAGACATAGGGACGGCCGATCGGAAACGTTGAAAAGCCGCCGCTGCACTCCATTGGAGAGCATTCTAGAAGAAATTCTCGGTACAGTGCTGCGACACACTAGAACTAATCCGGTGCGGTCGCCGGTGCTTTGGAATGATCCCGTAAGAAGTACAAAAGACGGCTTCACATGAGTCATAACGAACAGGCTGTGAAAAGTAGTGGACGACTGGTTCCATCGCTGTGAACGTCTTTGACCGTCAACATTTCCTGGTTAAATGTTCCTTCATTTTTGCCTACCAGTGTCCCAACGATAGGCTTCAGAGTTTTTGGAAGTCCAGAGTTTGCGATGACTCAGTCTATCACGTTGGCTGACCAGCTCAGTCCACCAGACCAGACCACCACTAACATTAAGTCATGAGGTGAAGGAAATTAGGTAAAGCGTTGGGGACCTTAGCAGTAGTTAAATCAGTAATTAAATTGCAAATCTTTGCGAGCGCAGCCGAAGCATGCATACAGGGTGACAAGAACTGCCTGTTTATCTCAGCCTCGATGTTGGAAGCAAAAATTTGTTCTATTTGAATTACTATGAAAATTTTTGATTGATTTGATTTACATGCTGTCTCAGATTCGTGAAATACTTCACTTTATAGGTAATATGGGAATCTAAAGTACTAGCAGAATACCTTGATGAAGTGTTCCCCATGACATCAATACTTCCTCGAGATCCATTTGAAAAAGCTCAACAAAAGGTCCTTGCCGAACGCCTTTCACCGGTAACCACGAATTTTTAAAGTTTTTTTTTCTAGTAAATGTGAATCTTCCCATGAGCTTAGTACTTTTTTCAAGTGCACATACATATTACTCAAGCTGACATCGAAGCAATTTTCAGTTGATGAACGTCCTGTTCGACTTGTTCAACTCGAATACGCCTACAGCTCAGCGTAAAACGGACAACTCACTTCACTCAGCACTCCGTGGTGCAGAAGCTTTACTCACTGACAGCTTCTACGGAGGTGAGAAACCAGCTCTTCATTAAATTATATAGCGACAATGAACCCAACTAAATGAAAAATGAATAAAAATGAATAAATCAAATGTACACATGAATTCGATCGAATTTAAATATATATATATATATATATATTACATTTTGTGAACTGTCGTCTCGATTCTAGATAGGCGCTGCTACAAAGTGTATCTTCTCAGCTCATTCTCTACCTATTGGAACAGACTCGTGAAATCTCAATTTCAGGTCGCACACCCGGTTTTCCAGATTACATGCTGTGGCCATTTCTCGAACGACTAGAGCTCATCACCCTTTCACCATACACTCAATTCAGGTAATTCCTTCTCGGCGATCCTCTACCTCATGTGTTTTCTCACGGAATAGATTTTGAAGTCCCATGAACGTGTGATACAGTAACACTTAATGCCCATCACCCACCCCGTGCTCACCGAAGGTACCTTTTTGTTGCGTCAGGAAGCATCGGCGAAGGTACCTTTACTTTTCTGCATATCAGCGAATAGATGTTTGGAACGCTCGAATGTGTGTTCGGATTACTGTATAACATATTCACTGGACTTTGAAATCCATATTGTTGTTTTCTCATTCAGTTGTATCGTAGTGGGTAAGAGCACAGAACAGCAATAGTAAGTGGAAGGGACGTAATGATCCCGAATCCCAGCAGAAAGGATCTGACACTTGGGAATCTCGCGTTATGGCTGTAAAAAAAATTCAATTTGATACCACGATAAATCAGTGCAACCCTTATAGGCTTAGTTATTCACTACCATTCGGCACATCCCATGAGAGCAAAACATAACAATATGTTCAGAGTTGCCAGCCTTATAGGCTGTAGTAGGTCCGATTGCCTGCATGACTGATTCGGAAAGAGGATTTTTAAGATCAACACAGACCATCAATCGAAAATGAATACTTGTAAATACAAATTCCTTTCAGATACTTCCCCGGTCTCCATTATCCACGGATGGGTGCTTACATTGCCCGGATGCAAAGCCAACCAGAGGTTTGATACCCACGCTCGTTTTGGTAGAGTTGGCTCAGTTGTCTTTCTTAAAATCATTCTTTTAGATAAAATTCGCTATGCGGCCTTTATCCCATCACAAAGCCTATGTGGATAGTTTCGCTGCAGGCAATCCTAACTATGATTACGGTATTTATCAGAGTGGATGATTGGCAAAACGTTTTTTGGCTGGAACGTCATACCTGCCAGGCTTTCCTTTACTTAGATTTGAGTTTCGTATTCCAGTTTTAGTTCTAGTTTATAGGTTTTTGAATGTATTTTGTTACAATAGAAATGTCTGCAAACGGATTACTTACTTTCGTTGCGTGATCAGTCATCTTTTTTTGATATTTTTTTTTTCGTTTTGCAAAGTTGTAAGTATACATCACCAGTTTGATATCTCTAAAAACCCCGGTCCTTCTTCAGCAAATTCCACAATATGTCTTTCATTAGATTGAAATAGGAGCTGTCGGTTGAGCTTTCGCTAACAGACGGTTGTTTGGTTCTACTCTAAATTCTTGTCCTTCAATAGATAGGTTTCCATTAGGCTACTTGCCACTTCACAATACACATGGCCCCGTAACTATCGAGCCTGGGATTGTTTGAAGGCCACTACAATTCACCGCTTAACTACCTTTGTTTTGGCGATTTCATTATTAACTTATTAAAATTGTTTGTACATAAAGTTTCCACAGCAATAAATGTTATAAATATGGTCTTTAATGCAGTCACATGGATACAACGCAGTGTCGACCATTAGAAAGTGAAGGCGGTTCAGTCTAACGGACCAATAGGGACGATTGGATCAGAAGGGTATGATCGCAGAATATGAATGATGCAAGACAAGTTGACCACTTTCTTAATAACAAGGCGATGAAACTACTGCGCAAGCTTCTGTTTATAACTTTTCATAGCCTCCTGGGTCAGCTAAGGTTTTAAAACCTACTACATAGTCTCAAAAGACTGGTGTCAAATGCATCAGTTTGAGGAAACAGTGAAACTGACTGCTATGCGCTCTGATCGTCCCCGATGTTCTCAATGGAAGCATAACGGGTACGTTGCGCGCGTCCGTCGAAACTAGGTCACGCCGCATGCCGCGGGTCAGCCCGCGATCTTTGACAAACATCGCAGTTGCCAGCGGGGCATACGAATTGTGCGTGGTCCATGACAGTCAGCCAAAGAGAGGATAACACGGACAAATGCAAATCATTCGCTCCACTGACACTTGGTGCTACTGTAATGCCGTCTCGAGAACTCAGTGGTGTGCGCCGAGCGCGAAGTGGGCGGGATGACCTACTTTCGACGGACGCGCGCAACGGACGTTCTCCAAGCATAACATATCTGATTGCATACCCTAGAAGCAAAGCCCATTTTTTATATACGACCATGGTGTAGATAATTCTTCAGACTTACGTCTATTGGCACCACACATGTAGCGTGACAAAGTGTTTATAGTTGGCCTAGAGGTAGCTGATACTTCCCCCTGGCCACGCCCGATCGCCCGCAGTCGCACGCTTTGAAGGGTAAGGTTCGAATTTCCAGTGAAGAATACGGTATTCGAAGCGGGAACCACTGTCGCTGGCCGTTGAAATTCGGGTAAAAGTACCTCCAACCGCCTAGAGGTTTTGCTGCTGCAGCAGAGATCCCTCACGCACATATACTTCTCTGATTCCACTCAAATAGAGGAATGATTGAAAAGATTTTTATCGAACGCTTCAAAACAGCAGTTCCATGAAGATTAAGCGATATCAGGCCTGTATAAAATTCCACAATCAGACTTTTCGACACATGACAACGATTATGTGCGCCTGTAGGCCAGACATCGTTAATTCTCTACACAACTGCCAAATTGCAACGTTCACTGTAAATTCTCGACCAGGCATTTTAACGCCTGGCAACGGTTATGTATTCCCATGCTATTTGACCAAGTACGAACCAAGGAATAATCTCGAAAACGCTGCAGATCCGCATTGGAAAGCCGAGCTGAGTATAAACCTCACCTGAACACGGAAAGTATCTTGTGTATCACTGATGTTACTGCGCGGAAAACTTCTTCCATTGCTCACGTATGTCTGAGCTTCAACTTGGCTATTTTTGTCCTTCCTCCCATGGTCGTAACCTTGAAAAAGCCTGATAAATCAAAAAAAGCAGTGAAAATGCAGTTGTAGGATAGACTTTCTTGAGTAAGCCCAAAGTTGGAAGGAGCACTGAGGAGGGTATAATGCAGATTTTGAGCAAAAAGCTGGAATGGAAAAGGAATCGAGCAAACAGAAACTGAAACTCAGGAGGGCACTCGGCTCCTACAGTAATCCTTTTCGACGCCCCGTATATGTGACGGATGAGAACTGGCGTGCTATGCTGTGCCGGATTACTGTAAGAGCCAAGTGTCGTAATGAATTTCTTTTCTGTATCGACCAACAGGACACTATCTCGAGAGAGCGCAGACAGCGGCACGAGAACGAGTACCTACACGTATGCACGTGTCTGCGCTACAATCGATACCTATCCTGTCCATTGACATTTGCTTGTCAAGTGCCTACTCAAAGTGGCGTCCTTTCAGACCCAAGCTTTCCAGAATTTCAGAACACTTCATTTTCTTGGGGAGCAGGAGATACGTGCGCCTGATGCCTCAGGGATGCGCGCGGCGAAATCCATGGCGATTCGAAAGACTCTGGCCCCTGTCATTGGGGCACATGTTTGAAGTAGAGTATACAAGCAGTATCAGCTGATCCTATCAGTTGGTACTGCTAATCTACTCTACTTCAAATTTGAGCCTCAGGGATGAGGGTCCAAATTCCAGGTCGTTCCAATCACCACGAACTTCACCGCGCGCATTTCCGGACGCACGTATGTACCTATACCCATTTTCTTTCTTCTTACCGGTTTGCCTCTTTCTCCCTTTCTTACTCCGATATTTGACGACGTTTCATACGTTTTTTTTAAATCTCTCAGTGGTCTACAAGCTTCTACAGTACGTGTTGGAAAAAATCTCGTCGTGCAACTTCTAAGAGATATAGAAGTGTCCATTTCTTTCCCCTCTTCTTTCACATGTAGGCACTGCTGAAATCTGTTGTTTCCACCGATTTCCTCGCTAACCAATGAGACCTGTAGAAGTTATTCGTAGCGTAGTATTTTGCCATTGGGCGCGTTCAGAGACGTGACGTGGCTACTGGCCACCCGTTGACAACGCCTTCACATTCATTGATGAACAGGCCGCGTTAGCAACCGCGCCGCCGTTGACGGCCTACGCGTTGGAGCATGTTATTTTCCCAGCGTAGCATGTTCATACATGTCACGACGCAAAAGCCGTCAGCGCACAGTAGCGCAGCGGTCTTGACGTTGGAGCGCATAATTGGCTTTCGTCAGCTGATTCCAAGGGAGTGGCTCATAGAAACCTAAAAAGGGATTTTAATTTTTGGAGTGGACCTTCTACAAACCGATCGAGGAAGGGATAGGAGCGAAAGCGCATAGGAATACGTAGGGCGATTTTGCTGACCTGTAGTTGTTCACAAATAGTTCTGAGCCAAAGACATCGAGATACTGTCCAAGCCTGAGGGGGTCAGATGGCTGTCTCCAAGGAGAAGTTTTTGTAGAATGTAAAATTCTCTCCCCCACCAAACTCGATTCACTAATTAATGCCTGGGAAAAAAACTGACATGGATGCTTTAAGCCGTGGCATGTTTAAGGTACCTGTGGAAAACAAGTAACTCATGACCCACAGTCGGGATTGACTGGGGTGCGCTTCGTTGCGCGTGTCCGTCGAAACTAGGTCACGCCGCAGCCGTCGCACGCGGAGAGCCGGCCCGCGATATTTGACAGATCGCAATTGTCACTGGGGTATACGCTTTGCGCTTGGTCCACGGCAGTCAGTTCAAGAAGAAGATAACACAGACAAATGCAAATCATTTGCTCCAATGACACTTGGTGGTACTGTAATGTCATCTCGAGACCTCAGTTTGATGCGCCGCGCGCGAAGTGGGCGGGGTGACCTACTTTCGACGGACACGCGCAACGGACGTTCTCCCTTTGGAGATAGTCTACTTCATACATTTCAATCAATTTCGACTTCGCTAGGACCAATAACTCGCGCTTCCATGCACAACAGAAAAGTAACTCATCCGATAACATCCGAACTGTACTTTTTTTCCTTTCGCTTGTCAGGGATCTCCGTTGTGGTATTCTGGTATGTATATGCATTTCAGATATCTCGAACCCGATATTGACTACCACTGAACACAATGATGATGGATACGGTATGCCTTGTAGTTAAACTAATCTACTTTGTTGTTAAACTAGCCCTAATTTGTAGTTAATTAGTCAATGAATAAAATTAAGAACAACAGACACAGAATTTCCAATCATAAGCGTAAGTGTCAAGCGTACTGAACCCAGTTCACCTACTCTGTTCACGCCGGGCTTCAGTCCTTTAAAGGGGGGATTCTTGAAGAATTTCGTTTTAGCAAATGTAAAAGGATAAAGTTTTCGGTGTTGATCAATCCTGTCTGAGGGATGGGCCCCTGCACACGACTTCCATTCAGAATTGTAGTGGTGTAATGAGTGCGTATGTGGCCTATAATGACTTGCGGTGGCCAGCCGATGTACAAGTCAGTGCTTTTATCCTCCAGACGAGTCTGGTACCAATCGCCGACCCCGGAGGGATGGAAGGCTTGGTTGGGCGGGCATCGATCCGGGATTCGAACCCCTGACCGTGTGTGTGAGATAGTGCGCCACTTAGCACTAAACCACCTCCGCCTGTGAATTGTGCTTCCCTTTCCCTTAGCAAATGTATTTGTTTAAAAGTGAAGGGTGGCAGAATGGCCGAGTTCTGTGACCTTCTTACAGAAGAAGGAAGCCCGGCGTGACTTTGTGTACCAGCGATTCTACCGGTACACAAGGTTGCACAAAAAAACTGTTCAAACGCTGACATTTTGCAGATCATGGCACTTTTGCCAAAAAGACGTTCGAGCTCCCGTTTAAGGGCGAAGGTATGCTTATTTTTCATCATATTTTGGCTTCAATTAAAATATGTGTTTAAGGAGAGGGTTGATTACTACAAAATGCTCAACCCCCCAATCATCAGGATGGGCAGCGCCAAAAAGCGTCAACGAAAGCAAAAAGCAGTTGCTAAGCCCAAGCCTAAGTCCGTTGTCGAAAAGCGGAGCAGAAGTACAAGATCTAATGTTCGTCAAAAGAAGCAACAACATGCAGCGGCGGTGATGGTTGGTGTATTTCCGTTAGAACTACATATGTATGTCTACCATTTACCATACAGATATGGTCAACAAAGACTTGGAAGTGAATTAGTCGAGGTCGAAAGGTCGAAAAAATGAATAAAAAGTCAATTAGAAACCATATGAAACGTTGATTTCTGAATCATAACACTGAAAGGAGTGAAGGGACTTGCCCAGTATCGATGTAGCTCATTGGTTATTCTAATGGGAGGTTCCTCTAACTTCTCTTCCTACCGTTGGTCCCGCGTCGTCGCACGGTCCGCTGTTCCTATCAGCTCCTCCTCTTTCTTCTATTTACGGCATCTTCTGCAGTTATTCCAGATTCGGTGAGGTCCTTTTTGACCATGTCCCTACCATGTCCCTCCACCCTGGAGTTCCTCGTGGTCGCTTCCCTCGAGAGAGGGACATAGTTCCCTTGAGTCTCGAATTCCTCTCCTCTCACGTCTCTCACTAGCGCCTAACAACCCGATAGACTCCATTAATCCCGAATCATTCCCTGCTCCCTTATTGTCCATGACTCCTTGGGAGCTCGATGGCTCGGTGTCCGGTAGAAGCCGTGCTGTACTACGGAGCCAGATCTACAGTGTCTTGATGTCGTTTACACTTTGAGGGACCATCGTTTTACAGGCACGTGGTCGATTTTCGGTGTTTCCTTAGCTGCTGTAGGTTACTCTCTTCGTTTTAAATAAGGTTCTGCAGACTACCGGGATGTGGGTTATGACCAGGCCACAATCTCCATCTTTATATTCCTTCATAACTCCTATTCTTCTAAGTCCATGATCCCTTTCCAAATCCCTTCATTCACTACAAACGTGACCATTCAGATAACCCGGTACGGTAAAATAGCCTCTATCGCAACTGATCTTATGACATAGTCAAAGCTGAGATAGAACTCATCCTCTTCGTACTCGGGGCAGCCGGCTGTTAGTGCATCTCTGTCCAGTATCGCTTGTTCATGTATTTCCTCACAGCCATGGTTCGGCCACTGATCTGCTGACGACGGAGACTGTGTCTTCAAGGGGGCGCGGTGCAGTAGGAACGAAATTGTCGCGTCGCGGCGAGAGACATCGCGCGCGACAAAGGAAAATAGCACAACGCAGCGGCAGGTAAGAAATTCAGGAACAAAGAAACTATCAGTAGGATCATGCTCAAAATAAGGATTGCATATCGATTGAGCTGTCTTAAGAACGGTAGAGCTGTAATAATGGCGAACGAATGGTCCGCGAAAGCCACTGGCGGCGAATCGATTACAGAAAACGTTCCTACTGCCCGTTCCCCTCTTTAAAGGCGCAGTTCACGATAATTTCGAGTAATCTAGTTTATGATGAAAAGAAAATAGTGCGATGAAGGTGAAGAAACTGCGTGGATCGTTGTTGCCAGAGTGAAGAAAGACTTTGAAAAATCGTTGAAAAGGGGGCTGGATGATAATGAGATAAGAAAAATGAAGAAGAGTGGGGCGTTTGGACGAGCTATACAATGTGTCTCACTGCGTACATGTGGGCACTGGAGCGAATATCAGATTATGAGAAACAGAAATTCATTCACATATAAGCATAAGTAAGTAAAAAAAAAACCCTCGTCACTGCAAAAGTAGCTCACCTTTTCAGCCTCTAGGAGTAGGAAATTAAATAAGAATCGCCTCAGTAAAACGAATAGCAGAGAAAAAAAGAAAGGGAGAAAAAAATCGCCTCATCACTCGGCGATCAGCTGATTGCGTGTGGGTCCTAGAACGAATAGACGCAATCGGCTGACGTCATATCGATCGAGGGGCGGGAAAGCGTGGATTTCACGCCTCTCGAACTATCGTTAGCTGTGCCCTTAAGGGGCATGCTCATCCGACTGCTCATCCACGCCCTTTTCTTTTGTGTATTCTTCGTTGTAGTAGAGCTCGATACCTTTCTCAGATGCTCTTTTCCCGTTCTCTTGAAGGTAGATGACATGAATTTTTGTGCGCTTCACTAAGGCGACACCGGCAATTTATCTGGACTTCTCGGTACGCGATCCACCTTTTAGAGTCCCTTTCGAACGAACTTCCTTGGCCTCCCCTGTCCTAAGAACCCAATCGGGGTTTCTGCGCGCCACTTGCAGGTGGCGACCTAGCTTTACTCATTTCCTTTGAGTTATCCTACATAAATGTTGCGATAATCATCTGGCCTGTCAACCTGAGCTTGACACTGATTCTTACATCATTTTTGCAGTTTTTGCAATGCAAGGCATGTTTTTGCCTTGTCTGTGATCGAACATGCGATTTTTCCTAAGTGGAGACATGAGCCTGCACTCTTTACCACTCGGCTATTCTTACCTTCGAGTCGGTTTTTCGATAGAGATGAAAAATTTATCGAATATGGCATAGCAGAGGTGTTTCCTCTCTGTAATAGTTGTAAGCACACAAAACCCCTGAGAAATGACGATCAGTGAGTCTCGTTCAATTCTTTCTCAAAGAGTAATACTATCGTTCAGGACGCAAGCGGAGCACTGAAGAGTTTCCCGGCACTCGTAAGAACAACATTTGTGTACACGACTTCCGTAGGCTATGGTAGCCCGAAAGTGAAGACATTAGCAGATCTAGCTGAAATGAGACGACCAATTACGCGATCTCTAGGAACGTTTCGTGAAATTCCTATAAGTGCTGTGGCTTTGGAACCTCCAAAACGAAGGTCGAATCGTGTCCGGCAGGAACCGAAAGCAAGGCAAAATACGGTGAGTCATCAAAGCTTGCTCACGTAACTAGCTCACCTTTTAGGCGTTGGGATGCCTGTTGCACTCCGCTCTTTCTCATATTACAAATGATAAGCTGTTCTCTTCGACGCCATCAATATCCTTTCACACATTCTGTGCGATATTGCGCAGTATAACTCTATCCTACGACATAATCCGCTAAGAGTATCTGTAGCTTTGTCTGTATGTATGCGTGCATATGTGATGTGTGTGTGATGTGTGTGTGGCGGGGGGGGGGGGGGGGGGGGGGGGGGGGNGGGGGGGGGAGCAGGGGAGAACTTCACGGAGCAAGAATCCTTGTTAATATTAGTCGTCGCGCCGCGTATTTGGTACGCCACAGTGCTTGAAGGATCTCAACGCGCAAAGTCTGAAATCAGATGAAATCAGAAAAAAGAGCGCATCCCTCCTCGAAGAACGTGTAGCTCTACCTCTGTTCAGTCCACCTCCACGAGCATGAGGTGAATTAGAGGGCGAATTTTTAGAAGGTGGAGTAGGCCTCTCCGCAGATAAGCAATGAGTACGTCCTACATATTTTGAACTGCGTCATTCGTGCGCTGTTAAACTATTCAAAGTTTGTGGGCGAAGTTATAAGAAAAAGTTACTCATTCATACTGGCGGAGCCGTGGACGAATTCTTGATGAGTAGCGATTCCACCATTTCATGAATATGATACCGTACATCATAGTTTTGCGAATCTCTTGATTTTTCTGTTAATCTTCACTTTTTCAGTCGAATTTCACTTATGTTGTGAAGAACCATCCGAACTCGCAGTACAGAGGTGAGCTCTCGGTTTTCATAATGAGTTAGCAGTTATTGACAATATGAAGTGACATTGCCGAACGGAGCCTCTGAAAGAATCTGAATGGCATAAATAAGTGATTAGATGGGGAAAAGTTCCAGGAGACGGAAAAGATGGGTCGGAAGAACCAAAATGTATCACGTGAAAGTGAGCATTGTGCAAAGACGGGAACAAAAGGTTTCTATTCTTTTGGGGTCCGGGAACTTCTCCCCTAACACGGCGTCGCACACGCCGCACCCGCCGCCTATCGCAGGATTGCGATGAAAGATTGGAGCGCGCAATTTGTGAGGTAGGGAGTCCTTTAATTACTTGAATTGGCTGACCGCCTTCTTCAATTTCAATGCAGTCTTGACCGCCGCTTGCATAGGAGGAGTCATTTTAATTAATCAAGTTCAATAAACATGAAGACTAAAAAGAAACAGAAGAAAAAACTATAAAATCCAATGAAAAAGCAAGCCAGTCAAGGAAAAATATCGCGTCCTATCGATTTTCGGGAGGCGGGGTGAGTACGGTAATTGCAGTGACATTTGCCGCATGCCGCAAGGGAGAATGCCGCGATAGGGGAGAAGTTCCTTTACCCATTCTTTTGTAGTTGATCCAGAATATTTAGATGATCACTTATGGCTTCTTGATTTCTTTTTTTAACATAAAAAAAGGTTGAGTTTGATTCCTCAATAGTACCCGCCAAGGGGGGGGGGGGGGGGGGGGGGGGGGGGGGAA